TGAAACGTCTTCAAGCAACTTAAAGAAGTCCAGACGCTTTTCTTTGCAAGCTCCTTTGACTACGATGACCTGGATGACTGAGAACCTTCACAGACGCTGTTATCTGCAGACCTCTCACGCAGATGTCCACACACAACTCGCTCGTCTTGGATCAAACACGCTTTTTGTACAACTCTTGTACCCCTAAACTTATGAGGTCTGAAAATGCTGGAAAAATAAAGCATCGAGCACCTTTGAGGGGTAACACTGACACTTTTCAAATGATCAAGGTAAAAATGTTGCACATCTGGATTGGACGGTAACTTTTGTTACCAAACTGCATCTAACATTCGGCACCTTTGCTGGAAATGTCTTTTTAAACAAAGTTCAAAGCTGCAGCTCACATATGAAAACAGCTACACAAACACACAGAATCTGTTAGCCGAGCATCCGAGGCTCCGGAGCCTGGGAGAAATCTGTCCTGTTTTCTCTTCCAGCCCAGATGCCAGCATTGGCTGAGTCAGCAGTGGCGGATGGTCAACAGCAAACTGGATGACTAGCTGCTGATAACAGGAGGAGAGCTCTTAGCCAGTTTGTTCAGTCTGAATGAAATCATGACTTTAACAACTCTAACACAAATCCTTTCTTATCCTAAAAGGAAGTACACATTCAAACTATTATAACTGCCAAAAGCCCTCATGTTTGACTTCTCTAACGTACTTTATGCAAATATACTCTTTCCAGTCCGCACATACATCAGTAACTGCCCACACTGCTAAACGAACACAGAAAGAAGAAGCATCATTTGCCCAAAATGTGCCATGCATAAATAAAATGTGCCAGACAGTCTGCAGAAGCTGCAGGCTGGCCTCGGCTGGCGTCGACGGTGAAATAATGACACGACAAGACTTCCCACTGCTTGCACAGCTTAAGCCTCGAGATATTGGACTTGGCAATGGTGCAGCGCTAGCAGGAAATCCTTTGGGATTTCTCGTGTCGTATCACAAAGCGACTTGTGATTCATAGCTGGACTCGGGCAAACAAAAAATTGCTGCCGTGAGCAGTTTGTTTGAAGTCTGAGAGCAGCAAAAACTGCAAAAACCACATTACCTTTGAAACAGCCCATGACAGGCTAAAGTGGCTCCAGTAAAGCTGCTGCTTCACTCTACGAGCAGAATGGCTGCCAGGGCGGCACCAGCGGCTCCCCTGTGCAATCACAGCAGCTCACACTCAACATAAAGATAATGTTTTATTACAACTAACATGCAAGTTTGGGCTAGCTTGACACTGACAGTTTCTGTTTTGCTGTTAAAGGACTAGGAAACAGACCGTTCATGCTCTTCTTTTCAAGCAGTTAAGCATCTTTATCGTCATGTTACAAAGCATCTCTCAGAGCAAAGTCTTCCCAAGCTGTGACGTACAGCAGTGTAAAGTGTTACAGTGTTACACCGTGTGCTTCCCTCAGACAACCTGTAATGCAACAGCAGGTTGAAAAACCACAAAGTACAAATATGCCACTGTTCGACAGGGTGTGAGATACCATATCCTGTTTTTCTGTTGCAAAGAAAACCTTGAGCAGTGAGAGCGCAGAACTACGAGACTTTCAACTGATATCTGGCAGCTTTCTGACAGGACGATGGGCGAGCAGAGTGCTGGACACGCCATTCAAATTGTGCCATGCCTAATTTTTAAAGTCTGACACATTTTTAGCTGGGAATGTTGGAATATGTGGAATGGTTCACAGCAACCACAGGCAAAGAAATATAAACTGATACATCGGTTACTTTAGCCACATTGTTGACACAAAGGTAGATAGTTTCGTTCTTGTCACACCCAGTGTACAGAACGCAGTATGCATCACTCTGATGCTCCACACGTCACTAGAACAATAAGCATTCATAAGAATATTTAACAAAGGTCCTTCCCAGTAGTGCAGAGGACCTCTCATTGGACCAAACGTCTAATAAAGTCAAACAGAACTGGCTTAAATGCTGCAGCATGTATGACTCTGCGTGTCCGAGCACATCTCCACTGTTTCAGTGTGAACACCACTACTAGTTCTGCTTGGCCATGCAAATAACATGCAAAGCATTTCAACTCCCTTCATGTGAGATCAGGTTCATTCACACCAGCTATTGTCTAACACGCAGAACTCTGAAACGTTAACCAGCATTCCAGAAACGCTGCAATTACTCCCTGGAATACTGACTGAAACAGGACAAATCTGCTCACACATGCCCCACCACACACACACACACACACACACACACACACACACAGTTGGGAAGTGCAGCTGTTGCTGTATGTCCTCTTGAACAAAAGAGCGCCATTTCAGTACACCAGGGCCTTGATGGGCACATTCCTCTTATCGCCTTGAAAAATTTGCATATCAAGGTGGTTTTCAAATTTAGAGATCTGAGTCAAGACAAGTCTGTCAGTCTGCCTGTGCTGCAGGCTGTGAACAAATTTGCACCCGGCTCTTGGACTATGTTTGGTTAATTCCTCTGGCAAGGCGCAGTGAATCTACTTTCCACCACCTACATGGCAGCACTGCAATGGATGGAGGTACTGGGCTGAATGAACCAGGGGCGGAGGTGTGTTGTTGTTGTAATAGGAAATAATAAAGTATAGCCTGGAATAACACCAGGAGGGCCGACGCAGAGCTCCACGTTGTAGATCATGTCAGGACACACAAACAGCTACTTTTATCAGCTGCAGACTGAGGCCACAAATCTATTATAACCGCCTTTCCCCCTCTGCCAGTTCAAGAGGCAGCAATCAGTCAGAAATTACAGCAGTAGAAAGGAAATCATTTAATCCAACCACCTGCCTGAGGATGAACCGGACACTGTCATCAGCCTGCAGCGGTGTCTACACAGCAGTGATTTCAGACGGAGATAGTTGTTAAACTGTTATAACTTTTTCACCAAACCGGGTTCTAACATATATCTGCTATCAAAATAAAACAAAAACAATGTGTTTCTATAAATCAACAACAGGAAAACAAGAGCAGTGTGGCTCGAATTTAACGCCTCCGGCAGTCCCGAGCTAAGTTTGTGGGCTAAACGGACCGCGAAGCTAGCACCACTGAGTAAACCTCGGAAAAGAAATCACAACATATGCGAATATCAATAGAACAAAACCGCGGGCAGATAAGACTTAGTACAACAATTACGCTACCACGTAACTCATTTCAGGAGCTAATATTAGCTAGCAAGTTGGCGCTTCCTCCGCCTGCTCCCCATTACTCCATGTGAACTCGTTTGACAGTCCCCGATTTGTACGGGGTACACATTTTGGCAAGACACCAAGTAAAGTTAAGCCACAGACCCCACCATCTTTGTGGCCGGCAAAACACGAATCAAAGTTGCGCAAACCTCAAAACTCACCGGTATGTCTCTCGGTGTAGGAGTCTACGGGAGCTCAGCACCGAAGCCTGGCTGTGTGCAGTACTTTCACCGACCTTGGCAGCTCTGTGTGTTCCCGGCAGCAACAGAAAACAACACTCTCATCACCCCTCCCTCTGCCAGCAGAAAAGCCGTGAAGAAAAGTCCAGTTTCAAGCCCCGCCCACTCTCGTTTCGATTGGTCGATATTAGGGACAGTACGAGAGAAGCCAATTAAATTCACTCTTTTCTTCTCTTTAATATCCAATGATTATGCGGGAAATTATTTAGCCTCCACAGTGCCTGGCAGAGCTTTTCTGTCTCAAACTGAAAGTTCACGATGAAAATATAATAAGCTTTATATGTTTTATCATTCATTAAACATAAAGGTTTACGCATTCAGGTAAGTTTAAAACAGACAAATCAGGCTACGACATAATGAGATTTGTCTGTATTACATATTCTCAGTGTGTTGAAATGTACACATTAAATCAGCTTTTTTGATGACTCATAAGGATTTCTTGATTTATTTCACATTGATCACAGTAAACTAGGAAGAACATTAATGAGTTATTTGGCAGAAAAAAACGCACAATCACAGAGAAGGATAATAATTAAAAGTTAAATTCCAAAATAAAGCAAGTTTGAGCTCTTTTGAATTTGTATCTCTCGGGTTGGGAATCTATCTAAGCAAGCAATAGTTTACAAATTGGACAAGAAACATTTGAACATTGCTTTGCTTTTCGAACAGGGACACTTTCTTGGTTCAGGCAAATCAACACACACACACACACACACACACACACACACACACAC